AAAAAGAGTCACTGTGGGCGTTCGCCATGGGCTTAATTTTTGTACGATTTTTGTCTGGGGCCACACGAGACTGATGTTACAGTAGAAGAAGCGACTTACAAGCTAACGGCGTGATTTATCCATCCGTCTGTCCTCTTGTCTTTTGCGGTCCATCCGTCGGTCTGTCTGTCGGTGCTTGCATTTCTTGCAACGCGCACGCGTCTTCCTCTTTTGTCGCCATCATTCTGCATCATAAGACCTCTCTCTCTCTCTCTCTCTCTCTCTCTCTCTCTCTCTCTCTCTCTCTCTATATATATATATATATATATATATATATATGGTCCCTTATTTTATTTTTCATCTTTTGCCCGTTAATGACATTCGCGAAATGAATTCGCCAAAAAATTATTTTTAACCTTTTTCTTGTACTCATATTTTCCTTTGTACATTTGTCACATATAAGCGGACACAAATTGAGAGAAAGAGAGCGTGGGGAGGGGGAGGACTGGATTATCCGGTTCCAGAAAAATCTTGGTGTAATTTATATATATATATATAAAAAGTATTCCCTATAATCCATATTTATGTCTGCCATTAACGTTGAAAAGTTTCATGGTGAGCTTAAAAAAAGAAAATAAATTCTTTGATAATTATTAATTGTATGAAGATTAAGAAGATTTTTATTTTTTGAACCATAAACATAGAGTTTGAAAAATTTTTTTTTCTCACGATTCTTGTGAAGTGTGATTTCAAAAAATGGTAATTTTGTAAAATTCGAATTTGTCACCTAGGGAAAAAGAAATTTTTTTTTACTAGATTCAATAAATTTATTATTTGAAACAGAAATTTTACATTCTTTAAGTGTTCTACACATATATAAAGCCCCGTTAGTTAACATCCCTTTTGAATTTTTTATTTTTGTTTCTTCTTTTATTATAACAGTGACAGTTATGAATACGGTTGTCGGCGTGAATCTTGTTTGCAAAATAAATTTAGATTATATTGTAATTAGTTGGTTTGTGAAATAAAAATTTGTCAAATGGTTAAAAATCTAATTTTATCAGAAAAAGAAATTAGGAAGAATAAAAAAGTGGCATTAAATGTGAAAAAATTCAAGTCAAGTAAAATTAATTTCAATCAAGTTAAATTATTTACTAAACTTTAGACACAGCATGTTACCATTCATCTTACTTTTCTTTCGTTAGATTATGAGTTAAAAATAGATTTAAAATTTTGGCAAAAAAGAGATTTTTTTTAAAAAATATTAGTATAAATTATGTCGAGATCAGATGCATGTTTCTGAATCCGGACACAGTTCTATATATATATATGTATATGTATGTATGAAAAGGTAAGGGGCAACGAGCTGTGGTGTAATGCAGTTGTATCTTGCCATTCCGCAGAGTGAAAGCCAACAACCTTGATTTAATAATAAAGGTTGCATTGCAGTCCCTAACAGAGTGGAATTGCAGCAGTAAAAATAGCTTCACATAATATGTGTATTTCCTTCTGCTTTTGTTCCTTCTTCATTTTAAGAGCATGATTCAATGCTTTTTATCATCAAATACCTTCAATAATAATTATTTTTAATTTTTGGAAAAAAATTAACAAAAAAATTTGTTTGACAATTTTTAAATAAATATTTAAAAAAATGGAATAAGAAAAATATGGAAAAAGACTAAAACTGATAAAAAAAAATGCTTTTATAAAATACTCATTGAAGATAAAAAGAATGCGAATGCTGGTATGACACTTATTAAGAATTGTAAATTTGATAGTCAGCAGAATTATATGAAAAAAAAAAAAAATGTACTTGAACTCCTCGAGGAGTTTCTTTTGTATAATCTTAATACAACTCCCAATGAAAACTAATTAGAGTCATCGTAAATAATATATACACAGTGGTGTATGTTATATACTATCTCAGTTGCCCTTCAATTGAATTATTTATAATTTTTGTTATTTTGGATGAATCTTGAGAAATGTATGTCAATGGTAATTTATAATCTTTTGATTCAATCTTACTGCATATATTATATAGAAGAAAATAATTTTAATTTTTACTGCATTATTAAAAATATTCAATTTTTTAATTTCAATATTAAATTCTAATGCAATAAAAAAAAAATTATTTTTCCTGAACAATTTATAGCTAAAAGACAAATTAATTGAAATTTCCTTCAATTTCACGCAGAAATGAATTTGAATAATCAAAAACGTGAATATTGTTTTTGAATGAAAGAGAAATTCTTTTGTTATAAATTTCCCTTAAATTATTATTTGTCTTGGGAATATTGATCTTTGCAAATATTGACATGTCTTCGAGGAATTAATTCAGTTTAAAAAAAAAAAATAAATAAATAAAAATACGAGAATTGAAATTAAAGACTGATTAAGAAGAATATTATTGTATAACGATCACGTTTTTTTTCGCATTCACGTGCGCCTCATAAGCGATTTAAAACATAAAATTTTTTTTGCTATTGCTTTTTTTTTTGTTTATAAATATACTTTCTAAATATGAATAAGTTCAAAAATTACTAATTGTTAGTAAAATCTTAGCTGAATTTTTATAAATTAGTAAAAAAATAACTAATTATTAGTAAAGTTTTGGCTGAATTTTTGCTTCAACAATTAGTACATACAAAAATAATTATTAGTTAAAAAAAACTAATTTTGCAGTCGAAAAAATAACTGAAAAAAATTTTGAAATTTAATTACAAAAGTAAAATTTATTTAACAGAAATTTTAGTTATTTTTTGACATAACTCAAAAAGTAAATTTAACTAATAATTAGTTATTTTTAACTAATTCAAATTTAAGTATAATTAAAAAAAATTTTTTTGAAATATTAGTGTTAAATCTGTAAAATAAGAATTGTTGATTTAAACGGTCACATTGTGTTTTTATTATTTATATGAATAGTTACGTAATATTTTGCAGACATAGCGCACGTGAGCAAGTAGGCGAACTATGCCTATATATTTTAGTGTCTGCTATAGGGCTAGGAATAAGTGCCGAGCCCAACATAGAGTCACTTGAGGGTGACGGCAAATGTCAAGACAGATCACTGATATATCTATATACATTGAGAACACAAAATAAGTAATTTAACATAAAAAATAATTTTTTTACCTTTTTTTTTTATAACAAAGTAAATTAATTATTAAATTAATTAAAAAATTTTAAATATGAATTTCTATTTGTTTTCGAATTAATTTAAATTACTAAATTAAATTAATTTCGTATTTATATTTATTTATATATTTATTTATTTATTATTTATTTATTATTTATTTATTATTTATTTATTATTTATTTATTATTTATTTATTATTTATTTTTTATTTATTTATTATTTATTTATATTTATTTAATTTAAAACTTAGAACGCATTTTCTTTCACCATCCACTTATTACCTAATTCTCGTTCACCTGGTAATACTCAGTATAAAACAATTTTTTTTTAAATCCTTTCTTGTTCTACTTATTCTAGTGAAGTATAAAATGAATTGCTAAAAGCGAAAACTAAAGTCTTAAATGAGTGTCGCAAATGCCCACTGACATTTTCTCATTGCGCTCTAAATACTCATGTATATATATACAAAATGAATTTGCATTTATGTATTCAAATTTGTTCATTATTTTTTTGTCTCTCTCTCTCTTTTTTTTATAAAAAAATAAAATGGAAATTCCTGAAATTTTCCTTTTACACTTTTAAATATTTCAAATTGACAACAAAACATTTTGTTGTGACACCGAAAATTTTTTGTTGCATCAACAAAATATTTTGTTGTGCTACCGAAAATTGTTTGTTGCATCAACAAAATAATTATCCCAATCGGACTTTGGTAAAACCAAAATTTTGTAATCTCAAATTTTTTTTCTCTCTGTGTACCTCAAAAAAAAGTAATTAAAATTTTATCAATATCCAACATATTTTACTTTAATTAAATAATAAAAAAAAAAAATGTACCTTCCAGGAAATTATTTTTACAAAAAAAAAATTACAACAAAAACTAGCAATTTTATTATATACGTACATTTTTTTTTTCTCTATATTATTCAGTTTTGTATACACGTGTTAAAAAGCACGTGTTCTCAGTTTGAGCAAAAGTTATAAAAAGTTATTTTATATATATATATATAAAAATATAAAATATACATACTATCATCCTAGGTTACATCAGGGGTCAACTAAAGTCACGTTAATAGTTAATGAGTCATTCACACGCTTTCAAGACACGTGAGGATCATTGATGCTTTAGTATGTAAAAACGTGCGCGTAAACGATTGTTCCGCGTTTTGTTATATAATAGTTATATATATATATATAATAATAATATCGATATTTTTTTTTGTAGTACTATTTTTTTTTCATTCCCTCATATAAATGTTTGAAAATAATCACGAGATTGTTTTACATATTCATTAAATTGAGGTAAAATATGACTTTATTGAACGCACACACTTTTAATTATTATTATTATTATTGTTTAATGAGAATGTAATATATACAAGGTAATTCTTCATGTTTATTTGTCACGAGACGGGTATTATGTAAAATGTATTATTACTAGCGAGACATTTACTGTTTTATTATTAATTGTCTCCAATTAACAAACATTTATTTTTCAGATTAATGCAATTTACATGATAAAAAACGAAAAAATTATTATAGAAATTGTTTCTTTGTGCAAATAAATGGAAAAATTATGTGAAATTTATTTTTAAGTTTATCTTGACTGCAAAATAAATAATAATTACTTTTTTTTTTTTTGTATAATTTCAAATTATTCTTGAATTATAATTAGATTTAGATAATGAATTTTTATTTAATTGTTTCAATTGCGAAAGTAATAATTTTTTTTAATAATCAGTATAATTTTTTAATTATTTTATAATTTATAGTTTGAATTTTTAAATTTATTTATTATGATATTGTCAAAAATTACATAATTATCGAAGCTAAAATTACAAAAATAATATAATTAATATTTGATAATTTTTCAATTTTTCAGAAATCAAAAAAAAAAAAAAAAAAAAAAAAATGCTAAAACATCAGAGTCGATAAAAAGAAAAATGGGCTGTTTTTCCTGCTCTGCAAAATAAATTGGGTAAGTACCCTCTTATCGTTCATTAAGTTGATTGCAACCCATTGTGTTTCTGCGCATCAAAGTAAATGACCTTTTGCAAATCCTCATATCATTTTGCAGGTCAGTAATCTTTTTTTTTTTTCTAAAGCAGAAAAAAAAATTATTATTATAATTATTTTAATCGTATTTTATTAAGAAAATTTTATTATATCTTTAAAAAAAAATCCTCACAATTATTATTAACTTTTGCGCAAGCAGTATTTCTTTTGTTTGCAAAAAAAAAAAAAAATTCTTTTTATTTTTATTCACTTTGATAGTCAGTTGTGTATTTTTACACACTCTAGATCGCAATTTATTTTAAAAGAATATTTCTTCGAATTTCTAAGCTAGTATTTTCAGCAATGTTTAAAAATATACTTTGAGCTGCTTGGATTTTTTTGAAGTTCAAGTTCAGGTACATATGTACCCTAGGTATAAAGGAAAAAAAAATGAAAAAATAATTTATAAATGAAAATTTCACTCTAAAAAATTAATTAATTAATAAATTAAGTAATTATTAATTAATAACTATAGTTAATTCTCCATAAAGGAATAATTTCCTTTTTTTTTAATTAATAATTTTTTTTAATTATTGCTTTCTGAAAATAAGTTGTTTTTTTAAATTTAGATTTTAAAAATTATGCATTTTTGTAAAAAAAAATACAATTGTTAACTATAAGACTTTTATAGTCGCGGTTAGGTAATAATAATATGACTTCAATGAGGCTGATGGTTCACTCTAATCATGTTCGTCCGGTTCTGTTAACATGATAGAAGTAATAAATCGCAAGATGAAGTCAATGAAATCATTGAGTTCATGTATTTTTAAACGAACAACAATAGTAAAGCTTCTTATTAAAAAAAAAAAAGAAAAAAAAAATTCCCTATTTTAGTTTTTTAAAAAAAAACATTTCTTTTTAAAATAAAAATTAATATAATAAGTTTTATCAATTTTTAAATAGATTTTATTTTAATATTAATTATTATTATTAAATTAATATTTTAATTATTATTAATTATTTAATAATAAGTATTGTTTAATAATATTAATTAACTATTAATAATTAATAATTTAATTATTTACTAATAAGTACTATTTAATAATATTAATTAACTATTAATAATTAATAATTAATAATTTAATTATTATTAATTATTTAATAATAAATATTATTTGTTAATTAATTACTAAAAAAATAATAAAAGGAAAAATGTCATATAAAGACGTAAGTGAATAAGAATTAGTGTACCAAGAATTCTGAATCATTATATACTTGTTTTAATTTAAATAAATTTTTTCTTTTTTTTTTTTCGCTATATTGGCCCACTGTTGCAATATATATGTTGTGTCGTAATGGTTCATAAATGGACGCACCCGGATGCACAGATACAGATGCAATTGAAATTGTATGTAGTTGGGTTGAGTATATAAAGAGAGTGAGGTGAAAAGGGGGAAGGGGGAGGGAGGGGGGTGGGGTTGAGCGAAGTAAAAATTGCGTGGGTATCAGTATCCATTTATATCAAGAATATTGTGTATGTGTTGGTATATATTTGTTGGACACACAATGAGTCTTATAATGCTAGTGAGGACCCAGGGTATGCTCTTGCATCATGTGCGACCTTGTCGGCTCTTGCGGCCGTCGAACCCCGTTCGAATTCAGGGTCAAAAAGTACGTGAGGCGACTTTAGCCGGTTTTTTTATAAGCTCCTATATATGTATATATATATATATATATATATATATATTTCACTAAAATCACACAAACAAAGAAATTATCTTCTTTTATCACACTTAATCAATCAGTTTACTTAATTTTTTTTTTTAATATTTATATTAACGTCACAAATTTTCCAATTTATATATTCAAATATTTCATTTTTATGTAAAAAATAAGTTAATTTAAAAAAAAAATTTTCTATTATCGATTGAAGTTACCGTTGAATAAATTTAATAATAATATAAATAATTAATATTAAATAAATAATTTAAGCAACCAAATTAAAATAGTTGCATTAGTCTTTTATATTAAGTTTCAAAGAAATAAATAAAAATACAATAAATAAATAAAATAAATAAATTATTTAAAAAAATGTAACATTTTTAATAAATAATAATTTTTGAAATATATAATTATTAAAATCAATAATTATTTTTCTTTATCATTTTCAATGACGTATTAAGTGAAAATTGAAAAAAAAATATATACATATATAAATAAAAAAAAAAAGTATAATAAATTTATGAAATATGTATATATATAGAGGAAATATAAAAGTGTGATGATGAAATATTTATCAATTGCTGCATAAACCCAATTTATTTTTCAATGTCATTTTTAACGAAAAACCTCTTATCATTTTATTAGTATTTTATCACGCAACTTTTAGCAAATATAAAGAGTTCATTGAACGTTTCTTTAAATAACTTTTTTTTTTTTTTCTTGTAAATTACATTCTGGCCTTTTAAATTAAAAGAAAAAAATGTGTCTTTTTTTATTATATGTAAAGTATTCTTTGAATTATTTTTTTTCTTTTTTTCTTTTTTATTAAATCATTATTAAATAATTTGAAACAAAAGAATATCTTATCGGAAAAATAATGTGTAATATTTATTATCAATCCTAAAAAGACAAGAATTACTTAATCCGAAAAAAGAATAATATTTAACAGTAAAAATTAAATATATATATATATTTAGAAGCTTTTTATCATAAAATAATAGAAATCAATTTTTATTTCCCTATTTAAATTTCGGTATATTAGTATTAATGTGACAAAAAAATTATTTCTTACAATTTTATTCAATATAGAAATATAAAAGGAATAATACTTTTTATATTCAGAAGCACATTAATTGTAATAATTATACGAGTAATTTAAATATTAAATAATAATGATGGTAATAAATATGACAAGATTTAGTGTGGAAATAAACTTTATCCAAATTACATTCAATATTTATCTATATATATATTTTGTAGTAATTTATATATTCTATGAAAAATAATTTTAATTTGCAATAAATTTGAATTAATATTGTATTTTAAATTAAAATTAAAGTTTGTGAAGTTCCAAAAAAAGTTTCTTTAAACATTTTACATTTTTAATTTTATGGTTTATTTTTGAATTTTTTGAAAACTATTTTTTTAAAAATATTTTCTAATAATTGAAATATATTTAATATATTTAGTTTTTCATTTTTGTTATATTTATTATATAATATGCCAATTATATTAATATTCAAGTTTATATTTAATATATATTTAAATTTATTAAAATGTATTAAAAATTATTGAAATTTTTTAAAAAATTTAAGTTTTGTAAATAATGAAAAATTACAAATTAAATATTTAAAATACAAATTACACGATACAAAAATTCATTGGCATCTTCTGTAAATTCATAGTTTAATGACCCGATTAAATTTATTATCAGTATAACCTTCTAAGTTTTATGTATACACAGCTTTTTTTTACAAAAAAAAAAAAAAAAAATTTATTTCCCTTCAAAAAATGTTTTTTTTTTTTTTTAAATATTTTTCAAATTAAAACTTGAAAAAAAAAATTTCTTGTGCTAAATAATAAATTTTAAATAAAATTAAAAATAATTAATTAATAAAATATTGATAAAATAAAAAAAAAAAGATATTACTTTGCTTCAAAGAAATATTTCTATATATTTTTCCTGAAAAATAAAATTTATCTTGAATCATTGTAGCTTAAGCCAAATTTAAAATTATTCTCAACATAATGTTATTCGTTTAATTTTTAAATTTTAATTAAAATTAATATCAAATTAATAATTATAATTTTGGAAAAAAAGTATTTTAATTCTATTTTTCTATATTGTAAACATAGTCTGATGTTTTAAATGTTACGATAAGTTTTTGTGATACTTAAAAAAAAAAAAAAAGTCGGAATAATCATATTTGTCCAGACTGTTGACACGTTACCAAAAAATCTGGCTTACGTCACACATGTTTACTAGATTGAAATTTTGCGAATTTTTACTGCTTTCGACCTATCGCAATTTTTTTTCCTTAGTGTCAAGATCAAGGACACAGGGATCAAAAGTGCGATTGTCAAAATATTTATACATACTCGCATATATATATTTATATATATATATATGAATCGGTATGACAAACAATTATCATTGTCATTATTTGAAATTGAAATATTTTTTTTTTTTAAAAGATGATTTAAATTGTCATTTTTTTCATTATCAAGTTTGTGCACAGTATATATATATAGTAAATGAATATATAAAATTGAAAAAGTATATAAATAGCCGGTTGTCTTTTATGAAACATCAACAACAACGATAAAAACGAACCGGTAAACAGGATAATGATACCTTCTCTATGGATACAGTGAACGGGTGCGAGAAGTGCAGTAAGCATATAAGTAATACAGTGCTAGTGCACTTACGTAATTTAGCGCTAACTAAGTGTCGTAATTTATTACCCCATAACTAATTGGATACTATATATATATATAATAATCACAAGATAAATAACTCTCACTGAAACAAACAAAAAATAATTTTTTTTTTAACTGAATAATGCATTCAACCACCTTTTCTTAAAAAAAAAATAAGAGGACTAAATTTATTTTTTAATGTAGTTGCAATAGATTACTGTTTCAATAGTAACTTAAATGGATTGTAGTTTCCATAGACAATAGCTTCAATTGACAGTAACTTGAATCAATAGTCAATTCAATGGACTCTATTATTAGTAGAATTAACGAAATAATGAATTTTTAATTTCAAAAATAATAATTTCACGTGATAACTTCAAGTGAGTCCAGTAGCTTCAATCAATAGTAAAATTATAGTAATTTCAATCAGAAGTAATCTCAAAATATAGTAATTTCAATAAATAGTCAACAGATTGTAGTTATTTATAATATAGTTTCAACCGATAGTAACTTCACTCAATAGTAACTTGAAAATATTGTAGTTTCAATCAATAGTACCTT